CTATTGGCAACAGCACAGCATTGAACAAAGAATAATGTCTGGAATCTCAAGTAAACAAATATAACGAGAGCTTCTTCACCTTTCCTAAATGGTCCTACAGTTCCTGTTGATTCTTGCCTTCGCATCATGCTGGTTTGCCCTCCATCCGTCCTGGCACCAGGTAGCACACGCGATTTCCCCGCTGCTGCTCCACCACGACGCACCACATCCCGCACACTTCCCCTGCACTGCTCGGTCGCTTCCTCGAGCAGGTTGCCCCGCGCAACAAACCCTCCGTGGTGCCGTCGTAGCGAGCAGCGTCCCGCACAACGCCCCCTCCTGGAGCAGCGCAGCCTGATGCCAGATCTTTTGTGGAGCCGGAGCGACCTCCCCCCCCCCCCCCCAACGACACCTAACCCTGTCACCCCCTGTCTGGCTGACAGCCAGCCACGTCTTTGCGTGCGCACGTGGCGCCAAATAGCGCGTCCCATGCCCACGCCCATCTCAGTGGCATTGTACTTCGTTGGGTGGCGCACGACTTTACTTTCTGTGTTTTTCGTATACTGTCCCCACTTCGAACCCCAGCTCCAACCAAATCAAGCAGATGGCGTGTGACACGTGTATTTATCGTAAGATTCAGTGATAATGCCATACTTATTCCTGCCTAATTCTATCATTCGCAGCGATAACTACGGCCTTGGGATATCTAACTACATCATAACTTTAAGATGGTTTATCAGGTTTGGTTTTAGGGATTTGCCAGTAAGGCCGATCTCAGGCAGAATTAGCCAGTACAGCTCTTGTTACAGCCTCTACCTTAGAGGGAAACTGAGGTGTTCGGCAATTGGTTACCTGGTCCATCCCGCCTTTTCTAGAGTCTGTTCTGGCCAGCTGTGTCAGGATTTCTGTGTCCTGTAGGGTACGTGGCGGGTAACCCAAGGATTCGGCGGCAGCCTTTGCACCAAGTTCAGATGCTAGACGGAGTCCATCGCGCTTCTCTCTTGTTATATACGCCCACAGTGTGGAGGCCCTTGGCGCTGTAGGCATCGCAAAATGCAAAGTGAACGCGAATTCGAACGCGCAACTCTCGCCATAACTTTTTTTGTCTTTAAACCCGTCAATATGTGTGCATTTTGATACGATATTATTATAAATGTAAGGCACTCAATTGGTCTAAAATGTACTGTTTTAGGATATGGTTTCATTTCAACGGTTGCCTTGTGGCTGATTTTTTTTTTAGTTACAGGGCCTTTTCCGTCGCATCGATATTACATACTGAACTTCACAACAAATTGAGCCCAACACCAGTTCATGTTGTTCAAACTTTGCTCTGTTCTCGTCGGGCTTCCCAATTGCTAGCGTACGCTACTATTTATCAGTACTAGAACTAGAACGCGACTTAACCCATAAAAAA